AAAAAAAAAAAAAAAAAAAAAAAAAAAAAAATACTGACGTCAAATTTTTGTACAAAAAAGACTTAATGGTTCCTAAGACAAATTCCCGGTATCTCCTACAATTTCCTTTCCCCACATTGTGCCAGATAAAAAAAACACCTTTATAACATAAACCCATTACTGTCATATTTATTATTTTAAAATCATAAATGTTCAGTAGATTTATAACAAGCTTAAATATTATTTTTCGAATCTCTGCATAAAATGTTTGAATTACAAACAATAGGTACGTAGTATAATAATTATACTAAATAATACATTTATATTATAAATGTATTATACTCGCACACAAAAGATTTTATCGTTCAAAAATCCCATCAGGCAGGCTGCTCGATAGATATTAATCCTGAGCCAATAATCGCTCCTGATAAGAGATTTCCCCCGAATCCCCAGTAATAGAAAGTTTCTGCATCGCCGCACACTCTTATTTAAGTTTAATAACATTTTAGTGCACGACTGTAGCGAGAGAGGGAACGTGGCTTGAAAAAATAATTTGAATTGAATTCTAGGAAATTCGTCGTAAAGGATCTTTGAGGGTTTATGTCAAGTGAGAATATTACGCTGAACTTATGAGTCAACATTTTTTTTACTATCGGTATCTTATGAGATGATTCTACCTAACAGGCCATAAAATAATATCATCTGTTTTATACTTAATTTTCCTAATATGTTGTACGAACAACGGCGCACCAGGCCACACATTTTTGTTCGAAAATCGCCTCTAGTTCAACCGAACAAGATACGTCAATGTGTAGATTGATGTGCTGGCGTGTGTACATGAAACCAAATACAGTCATAACTCAAATTTATTGAATTGAAAAAATACAATTCGAATGTTCAAAAAATTACTCAATGAAACGCACAAATTTATATGCTCATTTATAAATGGATCACTAAACATTGTGTACAAAAAAGTTACATTATGCGCAATAAGATTATCGTTTATCGATTATCGTGTTTACTTATTCCATAATTTTTAAGTTACGACATTATTTTGTGCATGCGCAAAAATATATGCGCAAAAAAACAGCCATTTATTGTTTTTTTTTTTTGCGCTACTTCATATTAAATTTTATCAATGGAACCACACGTTAAAATGTTGTGAGGGCAAGATATATATGTGAGGAGAGAGAGAAGATATTAGACATCATTCTTATTACTATAAATTTTGTTATTTTATATTGTTTAAGAGCACACTACATAGTGTAATAATGTTATTCTAAATTAGGTTTTGTTGTTTTAAATGTTTAGGTTACATATCAAATACTTGTTATTCTTTTCAGTTTTCGTCAGATAGACATAGCCATCTACCTCTTCTTCTCAGGCTCCAGTTTAAAAGCAGCGCTGTGGCTCTGCCCAACATTAAGCTGAGCTGGCTAACCTTTCCGGCTATTACTGTGTATTAAGTAATCTCTTTTTTTCCATTGTTTATTATTTAATTTATATTTAGATTAATATTATTACTATTTTTTGTATATTTATTTGTAATAGCCAAATAAATGTTTCTTTCTTTCTTTCCTCTTTTAAAAAATTTTGTTATGTATACTGCCGTGATCAGTGTAAAAAGGCCAATCTATCACTATTTTTATTTTTTTCCAGATAGATAATGAAGTTATCGCTAAAGAAAAATACATATTTTCTTAATTTCATTTCTTAAAACATTATTTTCTCGGTTTTGAGTTTTGTCACAAGCGCTCTTTCAACTAACGGCGGCAGAGATGTTAATTTCAAAAAAATATACTTATAGCTTATGTTAGTAATGAAAATTATCATAACATTAAATTGCATTAAATCCACAACACGACGCAAATTACGATTAAATTAATGATTTCAAATTATAAACCACATCAAATTATAAATTAAATTCAATTTTAAATTACATTAGCTTATAAATTGGGCCTCTGGAACCCATGTGAACTCGGTTCCAGTGCCTGCCGAGTACTCCCAAATCAACCGTACGAGGCTGTTGAAACGGTCACGCCGCGACGCATCAAGGAGGCAGTTCTCTTGCGATTGTGAATACAAGAGCATACGAGCCGATCCGTGGATCTATTCAGTCATATGATCCATTACGATCCAAAAAATCGAGTCAAAATAAAAAATCGTACATCCTCCTCATGCATCAAAGTCCTCTGCTTGACAGGTCAACATAGTAACCGTTATATAGAAGCAATTGGACTATATGCGATTCCGTACCGATAAACTGTAAGAACTGCCTCACTGTCCGCCAAGTCAACCCGATATTTCACTTACCCTATTCCCTTGACATACGTCTCGAACGAGAAAGCTAAGTCTCATTTCAGGCAGAGAGTAAATCTCTAGGTTGCCGTTGTTCCTCACGACGAACAGCCAATAAGTGGGCTTCACCTCGACGAGGTACTTCTTCCACCAGCGCGATATGCGCCGAGGCACGCCGGGGTTCTTCGATTGTTCTGCTAACATTATCTATGGGAGAGGAGGCTAACCTATATATTACTAACATCGTAAACAACAAATTTTGTTCCGTGACTTGTTACAAAACATTTTTTTTATGATGAACAAGTCGTGTGGCTGGTGGTAAGCGACACGCCTATACATAACAGTTGCAGTGCCACTCAGAGCTTTAAATTGCAAAGACCTTAGTGGCACGGCCACATGTGTCCGTAATTTCACCAGCACCCTTACCCTTCAAAACCGGAACGCAGTAATGCTCACATTGGCGGCAGAAATAGGTAAGGTGGCAGTACTTCCCTGGATTAAATTCTAGCGCTGCTAAAAATATACTCACGCTGGCCATGGAAGCTGGAGTCTGGTCCCCTCCATACAGCAGCTCATCTTCGTCATTCAACTCGTAGATTGTGTCGGGTTTAAAACCTTCCGCCTTCACGTTCTTGCCTTTCTTGCCGGTGAACTCGCCTTTCACCTGGCAAATTAAAACCGTTCACATAACTATTCGAAGAAGTACGAAGCGTTCAAACGCTGTTAAAGGTAACCAGCAATGGAACTTAAAATTGGACAATGTCGGTTCAAAACTTATGCGAGTGAACATAAGCGCCTGAAAAAAGTTACAAGCAACACTAACTAGTTGCATATTGCTATTATCAGTGTCAGGCGCTTCATACTGACTATCATCTTACATATTTACCTGCACAGTCTCAATGTCTGCAGATGTGAACAATCCGCTGAGGTCCCTGTACGGAATAGCTTTTATTAAAGCAGGGCGATGCGGAACTGGTTGTCTTGTAGGTGCGAGGCGGGCCGTCTGCAATATGCCACAGCATTAAAAACATTTACTGTTTTTTATCATGTATATCTTTCAGATCTACTACTTCTTCTGTAATTGTAAAAAAAAATTCACGCAAGATTGCACGAATCTATTGTAACAAGGGAACTGGGAGCGTGGAGCAAGGACCGCACCATGCCGTCCTTGGCGCGGAACTCCCGCAGCGCCAGAGCCAGCGCGCGGCCGCACGTGGACACCACGCACACGTAGGGGTCGGCCGTGGCCGCGAACGACGCCGTCCACTCCAGCTGGATCGACTGGATCTGCACGCCGTCTGCCCGCAACGTACACGGTCAATTGCTACGCATAAACTAAATCTACATTAGGACATCACTAACTGATTAGAATTCGAATTCAAAAGTGAAAGAAATGTTTGGACGAAGTATAATAAAGCAATAAGAAAAGAAAACTGACTCTTGATGAGCCGGATGGCTGTGGTGGTGACCTGCAGCATGTACTTATTGGCACCCAGGTTGCCGGCGAAGACCGTGGGTGCGCCCGTCATGAACCCGCTGTTGTCCACCTCGTTAATCTCCTGCCCAGTTTGTAAGACCTGTGGACAGCGAAGCAATTAGCCTGCTGATGGTTAACTACACTACCCGCACCACCCATTTTCTTTTCTTATTAATTATTGATTTTTTTTTTGTACAGAGTTGAACAGTAGAGCTCCTTGTGAAAGAGCCCGTGCAGAGAAGTACTGCCACCTTACCTAATTCTGTCCGCAAGCATTACTGCTTGCCGGTACTGCTGCACAGTATTACTGTGCTCCGGTTTTGAAGGGTAAGGGTGCTGGTGAAATTACAGGTACATGAGTCTTGTCAACTTATGCCTCACGGTGACGGGCGCAGTGGCAGTGTTTAAGTGCCCCTAAGTTTTTTGCGATTAAAAGCTCTAAATGACACTGCAACTGTTATGGATAGTCGTGTCGCTTTCCACCAGGCACACGACTTGTTCGTCCCGTCATTTGGTATTATAAAAACAATTTTTTTATTGTTAAGTAAAATCAAAATTTTTAGTGCCAATATGTCGAAAGTTACCAAAATGCAGACGCATTAGTTATGACAAGAATGACAGGAATGGTATTAACAAAAATTAATAGTATAAAAAAAAAATAATCTTTTAAAAAATATATTTATTGTCTACAACTGTGTAAGTACGTATTATTATGACTCACCATACTAGAGTCTTCCTGCGTGAGTATCAGATATGCATGAGATCCCTCCATGTCCTTGTGGGCGTCGCGGGTTACTTCCGTCGGTTCGCCTATGACCGTCCACATGTCTAAGCAGCCTGGAATTAACAATACCAGTATCTTGTTTTAGTACATATCATTTAGCATGTCAATAGCGGTCATTGACCTTACTTTCATTTTGAAGTTATACTTCGACAACGACCGATCACCGATCCCTATAAATCGTTGCAATTTTTGAAAGTTATTCTGTGAGTTTATATGGTTTTAATGCAATTTTTTTATCATCATAATTATAATTATTTTCATTAATTGATTACATTAATTGCCGTTTTAATGATATACACGTTTAATGAAAGATAAACAGTATAAGTTACGTTACAGTGATAATAAACCACTTCACCTTGAAACTAACATCGAATTTAACTGCTTCCGTGGCCCAAGCATTCTCCGTTCTGAATTATTGTCAAATAAGTAATACTGGCCAAACGACAATATCAAGTATGAAGCTTCATTCGCAAGCGTTTTTTTAATTTGACCGAGTATTACTAATTGATGACAGCAATGGATGTCAGGCATAATACAGTAAAAGTTGTTTAAAAATGTGTGTTGACACATATAATAAAATACCATTTGAGATTAAACTATTACACTTGTTTATTTAAAACAAAGCCGTACAAGTGGTTAAATTAAAATAATTTTTATTACCTAAACGAAATATTTGACAGGAAATGAGATGTAAGATTTTATCTTGAATATTATCATTCTTGACCATATTAATTTGTAACTTGACATGTTTTTGACATTTTTGTATTATTGTGTTGTGCTAGTCGGATTGACATTATATAACTAGACATTTGCATGCTATTTAATATATGCGAAACATATTTGTACAGGCACTGTCTCTTGTAACGTCTTCTGTCATACCATGTTTAAAGCAATACAACGGATTATTATTGTGATTAACAGTTAAGAGTATCGTTTCCACAAGCGGGGTGAGGAGTGAGGGGTGAGGGTGAGGGGCACCTGGCAGGTTGAAGGCGGTGACGAGCTGCGGGCGCACGGCGCGCTGCAGCACGGTGAGCGCGCCGTTCTTGCCGCGGCCGCTGCAGGCCACCAGCTCCAGCGCCGGCTCGGCCCCCTCGCCGCCCTCGCCCCCCTCGCCGCCCTCGCCCGCCGGCCGCTCCTCGCTCAGCAGCTGCGGCTCGCCCATGGACACGTCGCCGATGGGGCACACGTTCAGCAGCGAGTCGCACACCTGCGCGCGTCCCACTTCGTACACCGAGGGCCATATTCCGCTCTTCATTTTAATTCGAAAGATCCGGACGCTTGGCCTCCGTAATAGTACATTGTGTAGTACATTAAGTTAAGGACGGTAAGTAAAAAGTTAACGACGAGGTGCTATTAGAAGCCCGAAGCCGAAGGCTGAAGGCTTTAATAACTCGAGTTTTGTATTTTTTTTTACCGTCCGTGATACATACGCTTTCCATCACATTTGCGAGGAAATAAATACTATATAAATGTGTTCACAACACAACAATTATAGATTTTTATCGACAGATGACCAGCTAACTATTCTTCCATAGATAACACAACTTGAACTAAAATGTAACAAGCAAAGACGCATACAGCCATGATGGATTGTAAAAAAAAATTGCTGAATTTTCATACAAAAAATGATTAAAATCAATTATAAGAAATTCTTAATAATAAGTACTTAAGTAGTATGTAGCCGATTTGCATTTAAATTTCTGTTTAGATAACATTTCAAGCGAATGTTTTAATTTTGAACTTAAGTAACCTCCTTGCTTGAACTTGACCCCGACCTATGTAAGTAAGTGTCGTGTCGTGATACAAATTAAAAATTTACTCCTTTTAAAAAATTTTGAGCTCATACGTGCACTAACCTCAAAAACATAGCTAGTAAGCTGCGTAGAAGTCCTTATATCCGAACCGTACACCTCGAGTTCGTCTTTATCACTGATTTCAATGACATTGGTCGCAATGCAATCGCTTATTGTGTCTAGGCGGCGTTTCTTCGCTGCAGAGTCGGAGGTCTCTTTTGGTTGCTCTTTGTTTAATGTTGGTGGTTCGGGGGGTTTGTCTGAAGCAAATTCATAATTCAACAGTTGTACAACATCAGAATCAGACTGTTGTTCAACACAGTTCTGGAGTCAGTGATTCTAGTCCCAGTGAGTGCAAGGACCTCGTACTGAAAAGAAAACACTTCTAAATGCAATGAAGGTATGGAAGTATCGTTACCTGTGTCAGACACAGTGAGATCAACAGTGGCTTCTAGAGGCTTGTCCACTGAGAACAGCATTCGGTTCTCTCGCTCCGTCACTCGCAGCAACAATGAGTTACCCAGACGAGACCCGAGGAATAAGAAGTCTTCTTCTATTACGCACATCTAGAATATTATCATCAGATAATATGTAGATGAAAAGTTTATTCAGATAGTTAATTTTAGAACATCAAAAAAGTCCCATTAAGAAAGATACGTCTCATGAATACCCATTTAATTTACGATTTAAAAAAAATCAAGATTGTATCAAATATAAAAAAATATTTTTCTGTTCCTTAAACAATAAATGTCAAAAAAGGAAAGAAGGAAAAACAAGAAAGCCTTTCTTGCACTTTAAACATACGTGATTCTTCAACATATTCAGACTTACACAAGTAGTCAAGACAGAAGCTGCGGCGCGATCCAAATGAAAACTCCTGACGCTTCTTACAGAATCTGATAGTAATGTCAAGACGTATAATTGCCCTCCTTTCAACGATAATGCCAGTCTACCTTCTGCAATAGGAGCTACACATGCCCCGTCTAGGGTTATGCAAACTCCTTCTTGTATACCTGAGGAAAAGGATTTAGCTAAGGCTTTCGACAAGGTAGCTATAGTTATGACATTAATTTAACGTTTCAATATCTGAAATATTGTATGTTGAAAAATATGTCCCTTTAAATTGTGAATGGAGAATCAATGGAAACGTGGCGAAAATAATGACAAGCAAACAAAAATTTTACATTAAAATGGAATACCACAAGGTTATATTTTTGGACCATAATTACTTATTATTTACAATTATGATAATAACATGATATTTTAGCTTCGAAAAAGTCAAGCCACGATTTCTAACTTATGAAGAAATTGAACTTACGCAAAGGAAAATTTGTTGTGTGTGTAGCGATACTGTTCAAAGACACGCCATAGGGAGGCACAGATTGATTTAAGTAGATTAACGAGTTCACAGCCATTATTAGACATCCACCTAAAAATACAAAATACAAATTTTAACATCAGCTCAAAAATTCTGAACAGTAATATCATTAAGTAATTACAATCGTAGTTACAGTACAAAGAAATGAATGTTTGAATTAGGTACACTCAAGCTCTGAACAATGTAAACGGTGTACATTGCAGTTAAGGCAGTTAAGGATAATCCTTTATATTTTTTAATTACAAGGAGACAATGCTATGGAACAAAGGAACAAACAATAAATACCCAAAGGCTTCTGAACAGGTACAGCCTGTAGACAATCAAAAGGCAATCCGCCCATAGCCCAGATGACCGGATGCACTCTCGCACTCATGTTTAAACTAACACCGGCCATTGCGCAGGTGTCATTACGGACTGCCGTGCGACTGTCGAAAAGAAGAAAGAAAAAGTTTTTTGATAACGTATATTGATGTGAAACTCCAGTGGGGGTAAGTCAGCAGAAAGATGTCGTATACATACTTGTTTACTATTGGTCAAAACTTACCCAGCAAAAGTCCTAATAGGTTCGTACAACAGCAACAGCGTAGGTTCATAATAACCATGCAAGAACTGTATGTCAAGGATATTGTCTATCTTCTCGTCTAAGTCTTTTAACACTATCACGTATGACGCTAAAGTAGGTGCTCGTGTCACGTTTTGAACTGGTTGCTGAAAGAATAATGACAATCCCTCAATAGATCAAAGAAAGATGGTGAAAACTGTCCCAATAACGACGAAGAGCCGTTAGTGATGAAAGAGACTCAGTCTTTTTAAGGTCTTTTAAAAAACCTCGACTAATTTTTAACGCCTCACGACTAGTCTAGTCTTTTAACCCTCAAGTCTTGAGTCATAAGACTAAAACTGAAGACTAATTCGAGTCGAAGTCTTTTAACCCTAAGAAGCTTAAAAGACTTATAGGACTAAAACGACTAAAAAGACTGGCGCGAGTTTCAGGGAGTCGCGAGTATGAGCCGTATGGCGTGATTTTATTTCTACTCTCTCACATCTCACACTCTATCAAGGTATTTATTTTACCATTTTTATTTATAAACTTCAGGTTTAATAAGACATAAAATAGGTATAAGTCCTTTGTAAACAACTCGATTCGTTTAAGTCTTTCAAGTCCTTTAAGTCTTTTTTTGTCTTTTAGTATAACGACTGAGTCTTATTAATAAAAACTCCAACCCCCAGTCTTAATTTTTGAGTCGAGTCCTGTAAAATGGAGTCAAGTCGTTATAAAACGCCTTAAAAGACTGAGTCTCTTCACTAAGGGTCGTATTCTAGAACTCTACTCAATGCTCAAGTCAGGATTTGAGTATGGTTTAAAGCACTCGAAATCATACTCGAATCCCTTCAATTAGGGTCGTATTTCCAGTGCTTGAAATCATACTCAGATCCTGACTTGAGCATTGAGTAGAGTTCTGGAATACGAACCTAAGAGCCGTTCATGGACTTTACTAGTATAAGTTTGCGTTTTAGTTTATGCCTAATTATAAATATATTTTTGTACATTTTTAGAAGACGAGATTAAAGAACTTGTAAAACATTGTATTTTAGAATAGATGTAAGAACCAGTTCGACCATAGATTAGGCAATGTAACGTTCTTGTACGTACGTTTCTTTTTAAGCATGACCGAATGTTTGCCTACCTGAAGTATTAGTTATTTTATAGTACACATATAAAACATTAAAAGCTATAAAATACCTAACGAAATAATCAATTAAACAGTAATGACATAAAGCAAAAAATAAAACACAATGACACAAATACAATACAGTGGCAAAAATATTAAGACGTTATTTAAATGAGATAGTGTAACTTGCAAAGGAACGTTTTGACAAGAGACCTCTTGCCAATGTCAATGTCACATTGATATTGAGAACAGTGTGACCATTTGTGGCAGATATCTGCCATTTGGGCAGATTTAACTTTTACTCATTTTCATTGCAACACATGATAACAAGTTCTTTATTATTTTTGGGGACAAACTGAAAACTTGTTGTTTTCTGCTGCTACAAACAAACATCTGAAGCGAACTACAGGACAATATTATAAACATAACCTATATCAACTATAACCCCAGCTTCTATAGGCTGTACTCAATTAGCTTTTTTAATGTTTTGATAATGAATCACAAGTATTGATAGGTCTCCTTAATGCAGGTCGTCAAAAACACTGGGTCACAAAACACACGGGATGTTGCCATCCTTCTTTATGATCATGTTGTATACCAAAGGGGGTCATCATAAACACGTATTCCCAACCGTCATATATTTTTAACAGAATGTACAGTCTAAATTTTTTAAATGATATCCTTATTCATTTTTAATGGTGGGATGTACAAGCCTGGTGGTACCCACGACACTTGCAGTGCCACATAGAGTACATGATAAAGGGGACAACATTATGATGCTCTAAAGAACACAATTCAAACAGTATAATAACACGTGTTAAGGTGGTTTAACAGGTGTTAGTTTAGTAGCAGTAGAGCTCCTTGTGAAAGAGTTCATCCAGGGAAGTACCGCCACCTTACCAAACTTCTGCCAACAAGCAGTAATGTGAGCATTACTGTGTTCCGGTTCCGAGGGGTAAGGGTGCTGGTGAAATTACAGGCACATGGGACTTGTCAACTTATGTCTCAGGGTGTCGGGCGCAGTGGCAGTGCCCCTCAGATCTTTGTGACTTAAAGCTCTGAGTGGTACTGCAACTGTAATGGACAGGTGTGTCGTTTAACACCAGGCCCACGACTTGTTCGTCCCGTCACTTGGTAACATAAAAAAAAACAAAATAACCCTGAGTGACAGCAAATACGAAGCATTGGGAATACTGCGAAAGAAGGTCTCCACCTTGACCCTAAGATGTCAAAGACGCTGTTGATGATGTGTTGACGCTGTCGACAATGATGGATCCGAAACATGCCAAGATATTTTTCTTTTTCAAAAAGCATATATTTATATTATATATGCTTATATACATATATGGGTGCAAAAGTTCCAAAAAATCTACTTACATTCTTTTTACTATCTGCTAAAGGCTTCGCCTCCAAAGGATCTCCGTCCTCAGATGTGATGTCTTTCCTGAAAGGTAACACGGCCAGTTTCCGGCCATATAGCAACATAACAGCGCACCGGCATTCAGGATCAACGCGGATCCAGGGTATGTGAGGGTGAGTTGTCCAGCCACCCTGCAGAATGATAGTTGTAAAACGGTTAATGAAAAAGGTAATTGACAGCTTACAATTATAAAGAATTGTAATTGTTCTGGCAACAGAAAAGTTGATATAAATACAAGCACAACTGTTACTTCATAAACCTTGCTACAATTAAAAAAATGTTGTCACTACAAAATGAATATAAGACATTTGCGTATCTCATATTAGTTGTGAACTCATAAACTTAAATAGAGAAATATTAAAATATTTTCATTGTTTCATATCTGAATCGAGTATCTTTGTTTTATCGAGTTCTTAGGTCAACTGTGACCATGGGACCTGTAAAGGGCCCGAAATGTTGGTCTGTTTGAAAAAACAAATATACGCGATTTAAATCTGGAAAAGTTTTATTTCTTATATATTTGTTTTTTCAAAGAAACCAACATTATGGGCCCTTTATATGTGCTACGGTCACGGCAGACTGAGAAGAACTATAGTGATAAATAGTGCGGTTTGCATTAATATTTGGCATAATTGGTGGATGACTTATACCATCTCAATTAACCGTGACCACAGGATCTGTAAAGGGCCCGAAATGTTGGTTTTAGAAAAACGAATATACGCAATTTACATCTTAAAAATTTGTTTCGTTTCCTGTGTGTAACAAATGAGAAAACCTACAAACTCAATATTTTCATACATATTATATTTTCTATGAAAATTAATTCTTTCTTTTAAATTATCAGTTCTCATTCTCACAATGACTAAGAATTATTTTGTTATGTTGTGTATTACTGTTTATGGAGTGTCGTCTCCTCAAGATATATATTAAAGTATATTTATTCTCACACTATAATAAAATTACACTCTAAAATGGAACATATTCAAATAGCAATACCTACCTTCATATCATCCTCTTCAAAATAATGCATACTGAGCGTAATCAAGTTATTGACTTGTGGATCATATTGTAATACACTCAGCTTTGCCTCTTTGAAGGAGACCAGTAATAAATCTCTTCCGGCACTGGGGCAACGCACTGAAGCCATAGACATTACGTTGCCCCATAAAGTGTATGTTGCTAAGCATTCAAGTTTCATTTTCGGTGGTATTGGCTGGCCGGCTGAAAGACAAGATAGACTAAAAAAATGCTAGTTTCTGTCACTACCTGTGCCGCGAATGCCTGGACACACATATAGACAAGCACAAATTACATCCAAATGCATGAGAAAAATAAATGTAGGCCTTACAAATATTTCTCCCGGCACGGGAATCGAACCTAGGACTTCTGTGTGACAGTCCCGGCATGATAACCAAAGTCAAGTGCACTAGGGTATACCAACTCCATAAATTATCTAGCACCATCATGTTTATCTCCCACTGAGATAAGCAAAGACCATGAGCCTCCTCTTGCTACGCTTCTGATAAGCCTGTATCACCGCGTTCACTCGGTCAGTCTCCATACATACCGATTTATTACTCCATACATTCATCATCACCAACCCATCATTATGCCCAACTGCTGTGCACAGGTCTCCACTAAAGGGCCGTAGGTAGTCCGCCACACTACCCCCACAGACTTATTACACATTAAAGACCATTCATCACCTGCATTGACCTCCTTTGTAGGGCCTTCTGGCAGCAGCCGGAAAACTTTAATAATATTGGCTCCAGCAGTAACCAGACACGTTTCGTCATTGTTGAAGAAGCAGCAGCTTACGGCGTGTTCGATACCCGTCGCTGGATGCGTTTGTCGACAAATAGAGAACATTTTTTACGAGTTACGAGTACGCCGCGTCCACTGTTTTGAGGTTATGTTTGCTAAAGTTATTATCAACTAAAGAACAGCAAAATCACTGGTTGATACAAAAACTAAGTTTAAAACAGCATTTTATTAGTTCTATGGTAAATATTAATACATTTTTAATTAATTTCACAAGAAAACAAAACAATCGACAATTTGACAACGCCAAAACAGTCGCGTTTTATTTGATTTGTTTAATGTATTAGAGGTGGGTGATAAATAACGTCACGACATTAAATGTATGGCTGCTTTGTTTGAGAAAATGGCAGACTACTTCGCCTTGCCGATTGCCAAAAGCGAAGACGCACGCAGTCGCATAAGATTTCCTATTGTAAGCCGGGCTGTGAACCTATAACAAAATTATCTGCTATAAAAGTGGATTGCGAAATCACAAACTACAATTCTTGTTTTTTATCTTTTTTAAGTTTTTAAGCATAGATTATCGAAACCCCCACACTAGCAATTACCAACATCTCTTTTTTCGTAGTTACCTACTGACAGTTTTTTTCACCAATTAATTTTTAGTTTAGAATATGTATTATTATTACGTTTTGAGTTTCTACATTATATTCGTCTAGACCTTATTCACTCTTGCTCTTCTATTCTACTGTTGTATTTCCAAAAAAGCGCAAGTTTTTGTATAATTCAAAGAGGATTCGCTCTGGACCTTTTGGAGGGAAAATACATAGTTGTTTTTATTTTGACTTTCAATTATTTTGTGAAATCTAGTTTAAAGTGGAATAGGATAGTGCTATTGTGCCTTAATCGAAGATCAAAACGCGAAATTATACGAATCTCGAACTAAAATATCCGTATCGGCCCGTTTTAAGGAATCCCGAGTCAACCGAAGCACACCGCCTCAAATTGCCTATCCTCTTTGTGGCGGCCATATTTACAGAAACATAATTAAACTTCATGTTTAGGCTGATGGCTTTGCCAAAGCCTTAATGAATTAAAAAATATATATAATTCAAATTAGTCAACGAAATGGCAGGTTTTTAGTAGTTACAATTTTTACACGAATTTATTTTTAGTTTATGTATATTACGTTGTGCGTTTCTTAATTATTTATTACCATTAAGCTGATGGCTCTGAAGGCAATTCTATAAAAATAAATAATAATAATAAATAGTGTAATTCAACTGTTTCATACAAGATGGCGCTATTCATAAATGTCCACCACAGAAATCCTCTTTATAATTTTCTGCCATATTTACCATAAAATCTTTGTAGAAATATTCAAAAAAGAAAATAGTTATTCCATAGTTAGTTTTCGTAGTCATCAATAGTTAATTGGAATTTTTAAACTGTTTGCTACTTTTGCGACAACATTGAAAAACTGGGGGTGTTTATGAATAAGAAAGAAAAAAGGCCATAAACGGGATAAAATTATTTTATTTACAACATCATAATTAAATTGAAAAGAAATTCCCACGGAATAACGAAATTCTCAGTTAGCAAAAGATAAGGCATTCGTGGCTATACACAATCAAAAGTTCTTGATCTCTTCATATAAGGATACATAATGACCAGACGTTGCAACTAGCAGCGTATTTTTACCAAAACTTCAGTAATCACACAGTTGATTTTAAGTAAAATAAAACAAAATCGTTATATTTTTACTTACAATTACAAAATTTTCTTCTAACTATTGTGGCATTTGCTAATTACATATAAAAATATAGAACAAAATAGAATACAATATTATAATAAAATAATACAATTCCAGGATTTCAGACGGCGGTATTATTCGCTCTATAGGTATCATTATCTTTGAAATTTAGGTAAATATACTTTTCCAAGACAGATCTCTATTATAGCAACGACATTAAAGAGCTTACTAAAGTTATACGTACAATCAAATTAACAATAAGCACTAAAGCTCGTATAAGGGGGTCTACTCTCGATCCCCGTCCGATATCCGTACGAAACAATTACTGTCAAATAAGTAATATTCGACAAAATTAAAAGACAAGTATCAAGTATGAAGCTTCACTCGAATCACGCGTCTTTTCATTTGGTCAAGTATTGCTTATTTGGCAGTAATTGTTTCGGACGGATGTCAGACGTAAGAGTAAGCTCGTATCAGAGTGTAGAGGTTATAGGCCGTGGGTGGAGGAGTGTGTCGTGTAATTATTAATTAATATTAAGTATTTGCATCAGTACTCGAGTTGTAAATAAAAATAAAATTATACTTATACATTTTTTAAATAAATGGGAAAAAGAAAAATCTAAAGCCTTCTCTTAACTATGATAGGCCGTCTTGATCGATTACACTTTACATAACACTGTTTTACTGTCAGGTTGAGCGCGTAAAGCTGGGCACTCTTCAAACTGTAACGTGACGTTATTTGTACGTTATTTGGCAAATTGTTTCGGACGGATGTCGGACGGAGATCGAGAGTAGACCCCCTGGTACAGTACGAGGTTCCAGTGTGTACGTGTGAAACAGTCTTCACTACGGATTTATATACTTCATAAAACTGGATCGTTCACTTCGATATACCAATATTACAAATTTACACCTTATTTGGTTATGTTAAGGTTTATTTTAAGTAAAAGTATAAAACTGAGTCACGTGAGATAGCTCGAAGTAGTGGCTTTACTTTTTTTTTGTTATCTGGTAGTGGTCTGTCCTTGTATAACAAGTTGCCAACGCTAAATAAAATCATCTTAAGTAGTGTCCAGTGTATTAACTTTTTTAAATTTTGGTGATAACCAATATTTTTAATGTACTATATGTATATATGTTAATATACTAGACAAATTCATATATTAATATACTAGAAACTTAAATTTATTAATTTGCTTATAGATCATATGCTTTTACTGTAATAATAAAAAAAAATTGTATCAACAATGAAACCTTCTTATTATGAAGTGGCACATCAAATAAGTACACTAATTAAAAAATATTAGTAATTTTTTGTTCATCCATAAGCGACCACATTTTCTGTAAAAACTAAAAAGTTAAAAACAATATATCTGGTTGAAAAATGAATGAACACCCTATTAAAAAGAGACGCATCACTACTTTGAAGCCTCTCACTCGGCTCGTTTTATTAACTTAGTGCGTGGTCCTGTTTAATATACAAGTCCGTGGTCTTCACTCGCCAAAATGACTACCTGGTTATCGTCGTCTCACTGCGAACCCCGCACTTGTTCCTCTCGTGGCAAGCTCACGAACCACGTACATTTTTTGGTAACATAACATGCAACGATACGGTTCCAACTAAGTGCCCGGCTTTATTATAACGCGTGTTTTCAGACGTTGGCGAAATCGTCGATTGTATACCAATGGACGTTTTTAAAAAAAAGTACTTTTATACTACAAAGCTTAAGGTAGTTAATTTAAATGTAAACAAAGAGTAAAGAAGTATTTTATGAGGCATTACCTGGTTACTAATTGTAAAATTATAACGAACTTTTTGGAAACCGTTCTAAACATATGATCAACGGTCGGAAAAAGGTGTTCCACATACGTAGGTACATATAGATATAGCTACAGGGAGTGACATAGTTGTTAAAACCACCAAATTTTAATTATTAAAACAAAGATCGAACACTCAGAAAAAAATCCTTCGATCCGGTCGGATTCGAACCGAGTCTTCTTGCATACCGTGCCAGACGCTATACCAACTAAGCCACGGAACGAACCAACGGACCTCACGAATTTTTCTATGTGCTTGCGTCGTGTCTTTGTACTTGGTCTTTCAACGACTTTTTAGTCGTAGCGCCATCTATGAGAAATCTATTGCAGATTTGTCACCGACCGGATCGAAGGAATTTTTTCTAAGTGTTCGATCTTTGTATTAATAATTATAACAAACTAGTGGAGTAATTTCACAAAAAATATCAATTCAATAAAAATGTAATTACTAATATACACCAAATTTTAATTAATCACTTTTTCGGATTGTCGAATTTCGGATGTCCGGAAATTGTTTTACTGCATCGTAGGACAAAACTACTCATCTATTTCATTCTTCCGCCAAGTAGGTTTACTGTAATGAAAACTCGGTTATTTACTGTTTTTTTTACATGACGCCACTAGAATTACTTTTAAATCCAACTTTGACTTCCTAGGTGAGAAGTTTTATCCTACGATGCAGTAAAATCATTTCCGGAAATCCGGAATTCGAAAAAATTAATGAATTAAATTTGGTGGTTTTAACAACTCTATGTCATTATCTATATTATTACATACATACATGTATCTATATTATTTGGAACACCTTTTTCCGACCATATATTTTTAGGTAATATATAAAAATATATATTATTATAGACGTTTAATAACACGAACACCTAAAATCCAGACTTTGAAAAGATGACAGCTAATGCGACCAAATTAAAGGGTACAGCAGTAATATGATGTAGGAAACTCACTACTAAATATTGTATTTGAGTGGTTAACCAAATGACTGCTGAAGTTTGTTTACTTTTAGATAATAACCTTAATCTATTAAACCATAGCAGCAATACACACAGCCGTGCGGACAATTTGGCGACTCTGAATGAGCGTACAAATGAAGTCGTAATTATAATCCAATAACCATCAATATTATCGTAATTACCATACATGACTTTATATTATCAACCAAGCCTGAGCATATTCGTCAATAAGCAACCTTTCCAGTAATTAGGTATTGCCCCTGATTCTACAAGTGGAGTCACCTTCCATAGTGACCTTCCATAATACAGAACAGAAGAAAGCTCTGAAGATTGTTTCAAATAAACATTGTAAATGGTAAATAATTATAAACAAATAGCAACCCTAAAGACTGCTTTAAGAATGAGTGGTGATCTGCACATACATTACAATATTAAATAAAAATATTTTAAATTTAAAGATCTTTCTTGTGCGAGAAGATTCCCAATAATATCTATTGCGATGAATTGGTTTTTTTTCTTTATTTTAAAACTCGGAAGTGTATCTCAGGAAAACACATTCGCCTGAATTAATTATGAAATTATTCAATGCAAACTGAACCTTTCTACATCACAATACGTAGTATTTCTAAAAAAAATAGAAGGTAAATAAACAAAACTATATTATTTACAAATCCAATACATAACAGCTGTTTTTATCAATCAGAATTCCAGTCTATTTCTTCAGTCTTAGGAATTTTATGTGCATACCAATGCCCTGGATAGAGTGGACCTTGCGAAGTAACACATTCACCGACGACGCGACTCAATGACGTGTTTCTTGTAAGGATGCCTTTAGAACCAGCGCAAACCGGCACATGACAGGGGAGAGCAAGCAGTGATAAAGAAAGAAAAGAAAGAAAGAAAGTCCGAGTCCGGGAGTCTACATTTATAAACTCGACTCAATTTTACTCGGCTCGGTGGCCTAAAACACTCACGAGTCGAGTCGAGCGCGAGTCATCGGAGCACGGACTCGAGTCTAAAAGAAATCTAGTTGAACTCGAAAACTCGACTTGAAGCGACTTCTACTCTACAAGGTCTCGAGTACGTAAACAGGGTTCAATTTTACTGAACAGCTACTATTGCGCACGAATTAAATAAAACACAATAAACCCAATGATGATTAAAAAAAAGAAGGTATTAATACTTAATTATACTACAGTAATTGTACTACAGTTTAACACATCGCTCAGTAGGTACTTACCAGACTCGAGCAAGTCTCATTACGTAAATACATTCATTGTTAAACCCCCAAAACGACACCCCTGGGGTGTCGTTAACAATAAGCATTTGTTGACGACACCACCGTAATGTTGGGATAACTTATCGCTTAAGAATTTATTATCGAGCTAGTATACTCTCAATGGTTAATAAACATATGCAATTGTATCTTTTTATCTCTTTCTCTAATGCACTGGCTGATAACGTTTATGACGTTCATGAGATAAATTATGTGTCATTTGTGAAGTTAATCAATATATTGACATTTCTAATATTTTCAATATCTTTACAGGTTCTTTTTATTTTATTAATTATTATGGTATAGGTACGAACATACAGCAGGGTAACAACACTATTTGTTAGTGGTGTCGTCAACAAATGCTTATTGTTAACGACACCCCAGGGGTGTCGTTTTGGGGGTGTCGTTAACAATGAACGCGTAAATAGACTCGAGCACTAAAGTCGAACTCGAGTCTGTTTGGAAACTATTATATCGAGCAGTGGAGTCTCTGTCTTTATGAGTCTAGTCTTGTGAATTGGAGTCGAGTCCTAAAATGTAAACTCCTAAACTCGAGTTTTTTACAACACTAGCTGCGATTCTCCGAAGTCGAGCGCAGAGTTTTAAAAAATTTATACCTGATATAAATTGTTACAACATAAAATTTATACATTTAATATCTTCTGCCTTCCTGTCCACTTTGTGCTAGCCTTTATAACTTGTTGCGTTCTCTTCATAAGCTGCCTAGCCCGATATACACGCAGATCTTCAACGCAAAAGGGCCTTGAAATAAAGAATTTTACGATAGTAGGACTTGAATAATGGAACACAGACAAGGTATGCACATCAAAACCGAATAATCCTAGCTTCCAAGCGAATAATGCAAGCTTCCACAAAACATCTTTAACGTCTTTAACATCTACTTTAACCATTTTTTTATTACGTACTCTACACATAGGGACAATCCATAAACGACGCCAAACTCTGTAATTGGATTACTCGTTTTTCATGATTGTCATATACCAAGATGGCGCATGATTTTTGACAGCAATACACGTGGCGACAATCGAAGTAATTAGTTCGTGCAAATTCCGCAAGATAGTAAAAAGGGTTTACAGACATTTTGTCATGAATTCCTCTAGAAAGTGTGGCGTTAGTTATGAACAGCCCTAAACCCTTGTTCCCTTAATTGCCACTCCATTCCGCCGACCTACACATGTCTTCTAGCAGTTCATCGAATTCCTTAACCGAGCTTTCATACAGCTCTAAATCTTTTGACAAATCGTCGTTGGCCATCTCGTCGTCCTCTTTCAAGGACTCGGTACTTTTTGACTGAGAATGTTTCAAGCTATCCGTGAGTTTTAAATAAGGGGCATTAAAGAAATCCTTGTAAAACTCCGCAAGTTCTCTTATGGGGTGATTATCAGCAAATGGAAAATGGAGCAACTTCAGTGGCGGCTCATTTTCGTTGCGAAACCCTGTGAACTTCTTTGGAGGCATCTCTAAAGATGTTGGGCTGCGAGATACAACATTCGCATCTAAGTCTTGTGTACTATTACACTCGCAAACCTTTTCTGGACTATTTGGTTTGGAACGTGCTCGGCATTTTGGCACAGGCATCTTTTTAAAAAAGTCTTCAATTGCTTGTCTTATTATATTTTCGTCGACAAACGCTGCTAAACGCAACGGTCTATTGAGATCTACAGGCTTTACTTGCTTTGGTTCCTTTTCTTTGTTTTCCTTCTTTTTCTTGGATTCAAAAATTATGTGCTTCGGGCTCAATTCAAAGTGGTCACTTTTTAAAAGCAAAGTTTTACTCTTATCCGATCTATTTGGTGATATTGAGAAGTTGGTTCGATACGAAACTGTAAAGCATAGGCCTCCCAAAGGAGTCTTCAACATTCCGGCTTGTATTTTCTTTACAGATTCCCCTAAAGCCTTAACTTTAGGTTCACCACTGTATACCCTGTAGAAAATTGTAAATGACTCAGTTCTTTGCTTTCTAGACAAATGATATGCTGGTGTTATTCTTGTTATAGTTATTAAAGACTTTAGTAAAATGCCCATTCTGAAATATACAGTATTCATAGCCTTCAAAGAAGTATCAAATTGTGTTTCGTCAAGTTCTAAAGTCCATAATTCGAGTACCATTTCATCTCCATCTTCAGTTTGTACCGAAATTTCAACGTGTAGTTTCGATCTTATAGTTTCTAGTATTCTGTCAGATGGCAAAGCATTTTTTGTAGCCTGGTTGACTTCCGGGGAGTCCGGTATTTGTAGATTGAACCAATCAGAGTCTGAAGACTGTAGTTTAGTGCTTGTTTCAATTTTCACACCTTTCCTTGATTCTACAATAACTTGTACACCTTTGTAAGCTAGGAACTTTGCAAATTTGGTAAATTCATTTTTGTCTGAAATGTTTGAGAATGCCGCGTCTGGCGCCATTTTAAAACTACACTGTTACACTAAGTTCTTTGTTGTGGAGAAATTACTCTTCGTCAGCGATGCAGTTCTCGACAAGGTTCCTCAGATTGGGGTTCTCCATCGCGGCTGCAATGCGCTCTTTATCGTTGATTTGTTTGTTGACTGTAACAAAAGAAAATAACTAATAGATTCAGGCATTACTTTGCGGAAGTTCATGTTAATAAAAATGGAAGTAAATTAATTTCTCAAAACTCGGCGAGTCGAGTGTCGCGCAGACAACAGCCCCTGAGGATGCCCCGTGGAGAGGCGAAACACGTGTCGGGCATATTTTTGGTGGTGGTTTGTGACTGTAGTTGTGCTTGTGTTATTTATTTTATTAATTTAATGCGGAGGGATGGTGGGACAATTAACTGCATGGAAAAATATTCAACACAAGCGCAGCTATTTTGCACGATTTAACCTTCACTGGGTTTGCGGAGTAGCAAATTAATTTACTTCCATTTTTATTAAAAGAAAATAAGCTTTCAAGGATTGTTCAAATTGATAATGAGCAATTGGTGTGAGCGAATTGTATTTCCTGGGAATTGTTCACAAATTCCTTTAAGACTAACTTTAAAAGTACTAAGCTATTTGTGAAATACAGAGCTACAGCAAAAATATAACGCCCGACTCTTTATCCACACGAACAAATTAGCAAGAAACCTTTTTTTGTTGCATTTACAAAACCCAATGCGGTTAAGATGATGGCTCATCTTAAACATGGATCAGCGAAAGCGAACCCCAGTACAAACTATGACAGGGCATGATGCTCGCAGGAGCAACTCCATTCTATCGCCATTAAGAAAACCCATCTGATTATGGCTTTCACATAACGTGACCATAATTTTTATCACGCAAAGCGGGACACCTGTACATTTATGGTTTTAAAAATAAAAGACATGTTTATGATAGTTAGGAAATGTTTAATAATAAAAAAAAAGAATTAAAATCGTTTGATGAATCGACAATTTAAAAGAAAACTAATCTTGTGTAATCAGGTGGTCAATGTCTGGTTGGCTGGCTTTATATATTTTTCTGTGTATTCTGTTTTGTGAAAGCACTACACTTTTAAGTAATTTGAGGACAGAGCGACACGAAGCCTAAAAGCGGCACTGTCCCGCTTAGAACGGGACGTATGGTCACTTTACTTTTACAAGCCGATGGCAGATTAAAAAAGGTAGAAAAATAATAATTTGTGAAATATTTTTTAAATTATAGTAGCATGTCTGTGTCAGGTACTATTTTGGGCATATAAATAATTCATTTACTATTATAATTCCTCGAACCAAAAGAGCCCAGTCCTTTGTAAGTACTCTGTGGGTAGAAGAGTCTAACAAATTGGTGAACCAAGAGAACTTTGTTTGTCACCACACTTATGGACACCAATAGGCTGGAAATCAGTCAAAAATAAGCTTTAGGTCTGCTCTTTGATTGAATGATTCTACGTTAACGTGGTGATTCCTTTTATTACAATTTGTGGGGGAGCCATCTTGCAGCACCATCCCTGTATGAATAATGTGCCCATTATTTATTTCCCTCAGAGCGGAACACCTGTACTTTTATTATTCGTCTTAAAAATAAAATACATGCTTATGACAGTTACGAAATGTTTAATGATTAATTATTTTTTTTTTATAATTAAAAATGTTTAATGAGCAAAAATAAAAAAAAAAATGTGTGGTCACATTACATGCAATAAAGTTTTTGTAGGAACAAATCAAATCTAAACCTGGATATGGGGTGAAAAAACATGTTCAACATATATTATATACCTACTCATAGATTACAATTGGAGAACAGCGACTCGCCACTTACTAGATGGATCATCGATCAATGGCATGGCCTGATGTAAGTGACGCAAGGAAGTCTAGTGTTTGACTAAGGTTTCGAGACCACAGAGGCCTATTTTTCATTCACTACTGATAACCATTCTTTCTGACTGGGCGCTACTCACAAATTCACCATAGTTAGGTCAATATTGATATTATAACGACATCTTCTAAGTAATGCTAGCTATGAAAGTGTTATTTATTACGTAATATTTAATAACAGATAACATATGCCATGTCAATAAACAATTGATAAACTCTAGGTGTTTATGTAGGTTAAATGTATTGCTTTTCGTCTAATAATAAATATTATTGTTACATCTACCATACTGAATATTAGGGAGGTCTCAAGCTGGATTCTGTTTTAACAGGTTTAGAAACAAACTCTCTTTATTTGATCCAGGTATTCTGGATTGTTTTCTGGAGTTTGCTTACTCTGGTACTTATAATAGTATAAGCATAGACAAGACCGTTAAGACAAAACTATAAATATTAGTGGACCGCTCAGTAAAATAAGTGAGATCCACAAATACCTTGTTTTATTTCATCATGGTCATTGAGATTAGTTACAATTCAAGTGAAGAATTCTCCAAGCTTCAATGGTTTTGATGTGCCCTGGTTGTGTCAAGTGCCTTCCCAGTGTGGAGTCTTGACGGCCATCTATGGATTGTTACTGCTATGTTTCGGTAACTGAGCCTAATGCTTGTAGAGACTTTTGACTATCTGGATAACACCTAAATAAAAACTACATAAAAATACAATAGAAAAATGCCTAAAGCTAAAATTCAATAACACAGTTAGCTAATAATTACAAATGAGTAAATATATCCTAAAATATCTGTAACTATTTATGGACGAATTTAGTGACATTTGTTTATAAAACTTAGAGATCTGTGCACAGAAGTGTCAAGTGCTCATATTATGGCATCTATAGGTACTGCCCCACCATTACATTTTATTTTTATTAAACCATGTAATGAAAAAAAAATAGTAATAAACAATTTGATCTGTTATAGACGGGGGTGTCGCTTGGTGGCCAGGTGGCCCATTTGTAACAGTTGCAGTGCCACTCAAAGCTTTAATCTGAGGAGCGCTGCCACTGCGCGCATCACCCTGAGTTATAAAGTTGACGAGTATCATGTGCCTGTAATTTCACCAGCACTCTTATGCTTGAAAACCAGAACACAGTTATGGCAGTACTTCCCTGGACAAACTCTAACATCTCCCATCTACACAAATATTTGTATTTTGTTACTGGGTTCACTGTATATCAGCATCACAGCACTTTCATTGACAAATGACAACAAATAGAGTAGATGTCTGTAATCGGTAACAGCACAGTGTAAACACTGGTATGCTCATTATGTATTTGTTATCTAATTATTTATTTTAGTCATACTATTCATGTATACAACATACACATCCATACTCAAACAAAAAATTTTTATTTTCTTTTTTTTTGCCTACATGCAACCAGTCTTATATGATTCCATAACCAGTTAATTTTTGATATCTTTATCCTCATACCCTTCCAATGTCAGGTTGCCTTTCAATTTGTTCTTTGCCGGGTGAAAAACAATTCAGCTCATTGTAGATTTGTAGATCATTGTAGATTCCCAAACATGTTTAAAATGCTTCTTTTCATCCAAGGTCATACAAATAATGCAGTAGCCAGCTTGCGTGTGGCTATTATTTCCTCAATAATTGTAGTTAATTACAAGGTATTTGTGGATCTCATGCATTTTAGTGAACTATGGGGCATTTGTGACTGAATACTCGAATACTTACATAATAAACATTGTTGCAGAAATTAGGTAGAGAAAACTAACCTGAAAATCATCCGATATCAGATTTATCAAGAAAATATGGAATTAGGTAGTTGTGAAATACATTTTTTAGCTTCAATTTTTACGATTTTTACCTGTGTAAAAAAAATATTTTCTCAAAAACCTTTAGCCTCCAAAACAATACAACAACAAAAGTCCTTTGACTAGATCTATCTCCAAAATGTATTTGAACGCCCAACTCGACGTCAGCTATTCTAAAGCGGAGCAAATTACAATAATACAGTTAAATTTTACTTATTATTATGACTAAAACATAATGTCCACCTAAACATGCAATTCACATGGATTGCATTAACAAGAGATTGTTTATCACCACCTACACAAGACAAAAATTATATAAACACTAAGCAATTAGTGTAGTATAATAATATTAATAATAAAATAACTCACTTTCATCTTCAGTGGTATGTGTTCCTTTCTTGATAAATATGTCAAGTTTTACAGGATGGTGGAGCGAACGTAGTATTTTTATCCTTATACACAGTCCTATGAGCGTCGCCAGGGAACAATGGGGCACAGTAGGATGATATTCAACACGTAACACAGGAACTTTGTCCGCCGTAGGCTCTTTTACAAATATACCATCCTCGTAAATGACCTTCAAGTCTTCTAGCGTACTAGGCTTCTCAGGGTCCCTTATCGTCCGCAAAAAGTCTAAAAACACCACAACACAGTTTAAAAAACACAAAACAAGCCAATTTCAAAGTCCAAAATCGCGGATTTTTTTATGACAAACCGTAAATAGTCTCTCTCAAGTCATTCTCGTCTCGATACCCGAGCTCCTGTAACGATGCACTTTTGTCCATATAAGCAGGTTTGGCGAGTTCCACCTCTTGTTTCGGGGTATTCAAGGACAGTTTAGAAAAGAAAGATATCATATCGTTGAAAAACACGGGACTACGTTCACACAAAGCAAATGTCGGACATATTTGTTTGTAATTTGTCATTTCACTTTTATCGAGATTATTTGTTGTGGTACTAAGGTTTTCAATCACGTTTACTTAACTCGCTTGTATGCCTCTCTTTCTGTCACTATAAATTCGAATGAAATAGATGATAGAAGTTGTACACAATCATACTCAAGTCCTTGCCATTAGGGTCTTATTTCCAGTGCTTGAAAAAATACTCAAGTCCCTTAGAGGATGGAAAAAACTAAGTCAAGTCCTGACTTGAGCATTGAGTAGCGTTCTGGAATACGACCCTTGATTGTCAACATCAGAGAGCCGTATAAAAAAGTTTTTTTTCTCTAAAGATGGCGCTGCACAAATCTACTTCAACGGTTGATTCCAGTTATCTGTGGTTGATTCGCTCTGGACCTTTTGGAGGGAAAAGTTTCGTTTTTATTTTGATTTTCAATTATTTTGTGAAATCTAGTTTAAAGTGGAATAGGATAGTGCTATTGTGCCTTAATCGAAGATTAAAACGCGCAATTATACGAATCTCGAACTAGAATACCCGTATCGGCCCGTTTTAAGGAATCCCGAGTCAATCCAACCACGCCGCCTCAAATTGCCTATCCTTTTTGTGGCGGCCATGTTTACAGAAACATAATTAAACTTCATGTTTAGGCTGATGGCTTTGCCAAAGCCTTAATAAATTTAAAAAAAATCCACTTCAACGGCAATTTGGTCTTGGTCTTGGCAGGAAAAATGAATTTACTGTTTGCAGTTTCACATCAGTTATGCATCAACCCAAATAACAAAAATATACTACCCAGAGATACAACGTAAAAATTAACATAGGTAGCACGCAGGGTATACGAAAAATCTATAAATCGTCAAGGATAGTGCAAATCCTCGTATGTAGTATTGGTAAAAGGCGGTTTATCCGCACCAAAGGGTCGTATTCCAGAACTCTACTCAATGCTCAAGTCGGGATTTGAGCAGACCTCGGGAAGTCAGGACATGAGTATGATTTCAAGCACTGGAAATACGACCCTAATGGCAAGGACTCGAGTATGGTTTTCAGTGCTTTAAATCATACTCAAGTCCTGACTGAGCATTGAGTAGAGTTCCGGAATACGCCCCTAAATTTCAAAGGATATGAATTTAACGTTATTGCTGTATTTCAATGGCTATGACTCATGATTTTTGCACAGTAAGCATTAATTTATGTTGTCTACGGACCGATAACAATAGATTCCAGGCAAATCACGCTAATTTGGTTGCCACGACATTTACGCGAGTTTGATTTGGCCACTAAATTACAGAAAACTCAAACCATCCCCGAAGATATGATCATAAAAACAGAGTTCTTGACAACCTCCTTGGTCGAATAGCTCTTGCACACCGGTTTTCATGGCGTCTTCTCCAAGGTCCTGGGTTCGATCCTTGTTCGGGTTAGATGTAAAAAACAAATTTGTCTATATTGTCTTAAAGTCTGAGTGTTCATGGTACTGTCGTTGTTTCCTATTTCCACAACATAAAGTGCTCTAATTACTTATTTTGGAATCAGAGCAATGTATGTGATATTGTCTAATATTTATTTATTTCCGCGTTCGCTTCGTATTTCTAAGTTTCTACGAATAAAACAAAATTAACTTATATTAAAGTTTATTTAGAACTTCTTGAAAGACTTCTTGGATCCTTTACCCTTTGAGACCTTCAATACGTTAAATCTGATGGTCTTGGAAAGCGGCCGGCACTCCCCGATGGTGACGATATCACCGATTTCGACATCTCTGAAAAGTAGGTACTTATTTAATTAAAGTTCTTTTTAATGACACCTTTGAAGAAGTTTGGGTAAAATCAGATTTTGGGTTAGAACACGTTTTTCGTCAATTAGTGTTCGGAAGACCGTCGTGGGAGTATCATCATTTAAAAAAGTAAAAGGGAAATTTTAAGACAAGAGAAAATTTCATGGATTCGCGTGTGTAGCTTAGGTATGTAGACCGGAAGTACGTACTATGTATTTGGTTTTTAATCAGGCTTCGACGAATAGATGTAATACGAGAGAAGAGACTGGGATGACTCAAAAATGATCATGACCGCAATTTCTCGCGGTCCGGTAATCGAACCTCTGGATGGCAGACCAGCACAGTAACCGTTCGTCAACGGAGGCAGTGAAAAATAAAAATAGTAACATACATATAGCGACAGTTGACTATAATTGTCACTATGTCATAGGCCTGTTTTGACACCTAAGACAGAAGAATGTAACTTTGAATGAAATCATAGAAACTTGAATTAGCTACATTGATTTCGGCCTAGCGGAGTCTTTCGCCATCTTATAAGTTGACTTTGTGCTAGTTCGTTTTCAATAAACGATTCAATAACTCAGCCGGAGCTTGCTCTTGGGAATTGATCCTGTAATCCAGACCTTAGCTCTCATGCCTTTGTATTTTATCTCATGCATTTGCCATTGCAATTTATATTGTGTTTCAATAACGCTGAATCATCTTGAAAGTTGACGGGACTCATCTCGTTTTCTATAAGCTTTGTTCACAATAGAAAATATTTTACGTACCTAAAGCAAGGCGACAAATGCACAGACATGTTCCTGTGACGCTTCTCAAATCTGTTGTATTTAGGCAAATAGTGCAAATAGTCGCGGCGAATGACGATGGTCCTTTGCATCTTCATCTTTTGCACTACACCAGTCAGAATGCGACCACGAATCGACACGTTGCCAGTGAACGGGCACTTCTTGTCGATGTAGGTGCCTTCAATGGCCTGGAATTAATTAGCAGTGAACAGCTGAGTTAAATTGTAATTTGATAATAATTTAGTGAAGTTTATATTGCTGATATATACCAGTTTGAAATTTCTTCCTCCAAATTCGTTTACAAAAAGCCATGTCATATAAAAAAAAATTTAAATTGTAGATTTGAATGAATTCCACCTTACATTGGTGGTTATCAAATATATAAACTTCACACAACATAAAAATATAAGGATGTCATAATCAGAATATGGGTTAGAAAACACAGACTTCATCATTTGATTATCAGAAGACCGTCGTGTGGATTTCATCATTTTGTGACATCATTTTGTTAAGCCCAATTTTTATGTATTCCTTCACCATGATTGTGAGAAACCCAGGTGTGAAATTAGCCCATTACAACTTAGATATTTAGTATGTATGTATGTACAGTCAACAGCACATCAAGCTACACATTGACGTATCTTGTTCTGTTGCACTGGAGGCGATTTTTGAACAAAAATGAGTAGTCGGGACAATTTCATTAAAGGTGGCCTCTATAATTATGTATAGATCATGCATAACAATACTTATAGATATAGTTATGCAACTTTTATCATAGACGCTTACAATTTTAAATCCTTTGAGTGGGTAACAGATGACAAGTTTCTGTACCTTGCTATTATTGGGCTAGTACTTTTGACTTCAATGTTAAAGATTTTATAATTAATACCACTGAAATATTAACACAACATGCACCAAGTTATACCTTATTTTATCACCAAGTGGAACCACATTCTTCATGCCATTAAATTCATGCAACTTACCTTTAATATTTGCACCCACTTTGTACTAAATGCAGGACTGATGAATTATGGAAATAGAGAAAGAACTATTCAAAACCTTTGAATGTAATTAAATAGAGTCAAAGATCTGTAATGATATGTTAATAGACTAGAGGCTGGAGAGGCTTATATGGGTAGCCTTAATCCTCACCACACTTATTAATGTGGAACTGGCTTGAACTCATCAGAAAAGGCCTTATATAGTTCATGCAATTCTTTTTTTTTTGTTTAATTGCCAACAACCAATGTGAGACCATAAGCAGTTCATATTCTTGATATATTTTGACCAGGTAGCCATATCCTTCCACTTTATGTGGATATTACTTTATATTCAGCTTAATTAGTTGAATCCCATGTGTTTACGCTTCAATCTTCTCATCCATGGTGGTACACACATCTAGGTAGCCAGTTTGTTAGTAAGACAATTCTGGCTGATCTTTCTTTATAAGACTTAGTTGTTTTCCATATCCAATAAGACTGAAACAGTCACGCGATTCACTTCTGCATGGGCTGCGGACTCTAATGCACATTTTATTCGCTTATACATATAGTAAGTCCATGTAGGACTTCATATTTGTATTTGACCATCTTAATGTGGTTCTGATATGCTAAGGTCTCACTTAGCAGTTGCAGTAAAGTAGGAAAGTAAATTTTAATTAAGATGTACACAATCTTCAAATTAACTTGTAATAAGGAAGAATTGATTAGCTCTTTTTGAGAATGAACAGTAATTACCGACACCTTCCAATGAATGACAATGTTGCAGAGAGGAACAAAAATCTTTTAACAAAGTTTGTTACAATTTTTAATTTAAATGATGAAGTAGGTTGCTACTGAACAACTTGAGATAAAATAGCAGATCTGAGGATGCCCAAGTGGGCACAGATCTCAACTTTGGTCACTACCAACAACTTTCATCAGAGGAGAATTGGCCAGAAATGTGCCAATAGTACAAGTAGTACCCTCTTACAGGAGAGAAACAATATTTTCTAATACATCCATTTATATTATATTTATAGAGGAAATTAATTACTGTTAAAAATTAATTATATCCAGTAAGTTTTGGTAGTGAAGTAAATGTAATACATACATTACATTTGTTATTACTGTAACTGAAATGATTATAGTGTCAAAAGATTTTATATTCCATTAGTTCCTATCTCCAGAGGAATTCCATGACCCCACCAGGCTTATCCGCTCCATCACCGTAACTGAAAAAGGACCAAACCTCTCGAGGAGTCTTGAAACCAAGACCAACACTCCTGTGATGCCGCATGTCCTTTCGCTTCAGCCCTCCCTTACGGGCCAGGAAGACCGTAGGCTGTTTCTGAAACGCTTTCTCTGTCTACAGAAAAAAAATCACACATTAGCACACCATGCTTTACCTCACGCGGCGTCTTGAAACCGAGTCCCACATCTTTGTGGTACCTCAATGGTTTACGGCTCCGCTTGACACCAATTCCCTTCTTACGGTTCAAGAAAACCGTTGGTTGCTTTTGGAATGAACGCTCTGTCTGCAATTTCAATTACTGTTAATATTATCCTATTTAATAAGAGACTACTTAGAGACTACCTTCGGACGGGTTCGTGTTATTAAAAATTAAAAATAAAAGGGATATGTTAATTATGAGCCTGCAGTGATTATTCCTTGGTGCTTTCCTCCTATACCGAATCGATTGGGTAAACTAGCAGTAGCGATCTGAAGCGTTTTATCCAGAAAACTTTTGTTTTCAACCACGGAAATATAACCTCTTCGAAGCTTGCACACTGAATAACTTTATACTCAATTATTTATCAGAATACGTGATATAGGCTTGGTTAAGGGCATTTGTGACCTCTGAGAAGTGAAAATATCAAGTACAGCGTTAATTTTGTCAAATATTTTACCGAAAAACCGAACGAAAGCACTGATCCACGTGCATGGTATTTCCGTCATAGATATCACTTGAAACACTTTTTCTATCACAATGAATTTTAATTGACACTTTCGCACTAGTTTTCTTAAGATTTCCATACTGAAATACACAAGAAAAATATGAATTAAATATTATTTTAATAATAAAATCGGCACATACCTGATCCGCCATCTTGCTTGACAACGAAAAGAAGGTAATGTTGCTATATAAATAAAATAGTCGTCTCGATAAAAAAAGTGCACACTTTATTTCAATGTGTATTATCAAAATTAAATACCAAATTAGAGCATTGGAGAAGTTTATTTCAAGAATATGTATTTGTGTAACAAAAACGATATCGAAACTATAATAATAAATAGATTATTAAAACCGCATTCGAAAAACTATTCTATGTTGGCAACTTTTAAGGTTAGAGATGGGAAAAAGTTACATTTATATCATAACATTTGAGTATTATGTGGTATTATTTGTTTATATAATAATATTCTTGGAGAGTTTCATTATAGTGCAACCGCGATTTGACGATAATATAAATGCATGCGTTATTATTAATTTTTCATAGGTAAAACTTAAGCAAAGCGTTGACGAATCTTATTACGAAGTAATTATTATTTGAAGTTTATTGTAACAGTCTCCGTGGCCGAACAGTTACCATGCCGGACTGCCAAGCAAAGGTCCCAGGTTCGATTCCTGCCTACATTTATTTCTCTCGGAGTTTGGGTATAATTTGTGATTGTGTATGTATGTGTCCATGGCACCCGCGACACAGGGTTTCCCTAGTGCGGGGTATGTTGAGTGTGTGCGTTATAAAAAAAAAAGTGATCAACTTTGAGTCCCGATCGAGCCTTGTTTTTTTTGGCTTTTCGCGGTTTACCCGTTTAAATAAAATCTATCTGGTAATTATTGACATAAGAAATGTTTGATGAATGTATGTAGGTACAACCTTGTACCTATTGAAAGGTTTTTCACAACACTACGTTCGTTTTTGTTCCCGGTCAGTTGGGAATTTTTTGTAACAGGCACGTTAACAAACTCACCAATAATACTACCAACTACGGGGCCATATTCATTACAAAATTTATAACGAGATCCGGTCACACTTCCCAAGATGTTTTTCTGAAATAATTGGATATTGGAGCAGCATTGACTGAGAGCTCTCAGTCCAAAGATGGATTTGATACATGCCACCATATAGGTGCCGGTGAGAGCCATAAAAATAAAAAGTGAAGTGAAGTGAACCTTGGTTCTCTAAGGGTCGTATTCTAGAAATCTACTCAAGGCTTAAGTCGGGACTTGAGTATGATTCAAAGCACTAGAAATCGTACTCAAGTTTCTGCCATTAGGGTCGTATTTCCAGTGCTTGTGTTGCCAGTGCAATCCTGACTTGAGCATTGAATAGAGTTCTAGAATACGACCCTTAATCTTGTGTACTATGGAACACTTAGGGTCGTATTCTAGAACTCTACTCAATGCTCAAGTCAGGATTGCACCGGAAACACAAGCCCTGGAAACGCGACTCTAATGGCAGGGACTTGAGTATGATTTCGAGTGCTTTAAATCAAACTCAAATCCTGACTTGAGCATTGAATTTTAGGGTTTAGAGCTTTGAGGTCTAGAATACGACCCTAAATTTGCAAACAACCAGCAGGCTGATTTTAATTAAAATTGAAATCGATCCGATTGGGTAGCCCATCAAAGTCTCGAAATCAGATGGGTTTCCGAGCGAGAAGTTGAACCTGATTCCTATTATATCATTCTAATTTTTATGTTAAATCAACTTATTGCTCCGATTTGAAATGTCAAAAGTTCCCGATCTGCCAGTTGTGATCGCAATTATGCGCCTCGACTCGGAAGAGACGCGGTTTCCGATCGAGAGAGGCAATAAAATCAAACTGCTGGTGATCTAAAATCAGTATCTAAGCGACATTTTAATACTAAAATAATAAGCTACAACTAATTTCATACCTGTTAACTCTAAGCCTGTTATTTAATCAGTAACCGAAATTCTGAACTGAACTCTAAAGTAACACCTATAACGGACGAGCGGGAGCGAGCGAGCGAATGTCAAAAACGTCAAAACGGAATTGTTATGAAAATACCAGCAATTTTGATTTTTTCTAAAAATTCGAATCACTTCGCTTTTACTCACTGTTTTTCAATTATATATTGTATTTACGTTCTTATCTAATTGTTATACGAAGTGTAGCCTTTGAAAGTGATGTAGTGGGATAGTACGAGAGTGATGGATTTCGGTGTTCATTTTTATTTTGTTCGAAAATTTTTTATTTTTGGTTGATTGGAGATGGAAGAAGTAAGGCAGTTGGTGCAGGAGGAAGGCAGAGAGGCGCGGAATTTGGTAGCGTTCCATGTCGCGGTAGACACGCCAGGTAAAACATAAAATATTGTTAATATGGGTATCGTGCGCCGAACTTTACTTCCGTGATCAAATACCGTTGAAACATGTGGGCGGCGCTGAGTTTGCTCAATAAACGGCCGTTAAATTGTGCCTGGTGACTTATGGGCTTCATAGTGATTCTTCTTCAGAACAATATGCTTTGTACTGTACTTAATTTGAAAACATAAGAATGCTGCATCATCCATTGTATGTTCACTTTGAAATTTAGAAAATGTGTGAATTATTAGAAAGATTAAATTTAAATCGTAAATGCCTTTATTTCATAGGTTTATTTATTTATTTATAGCCTTTATTGCTGATAAATTACATACTAACTTATCTAATACAGACACATTGTATGACATTCATGCTTATTAGATATTACTTATTTATTATTACTCAGATTTGTTGACTCGATACCTTCAGCTTGTCCTAAGACTTAGTCCTCTTCTAGAGATTTCAATTTCTCCCTATCTTTTGCTGTTTGCCTTCATGCTCCTCCAGCAACATGTTTAGAATCATCTTCCCATCTTCATCAAAGTATGGTCTCCCTTTCGTCCTTTTTTCCTCTCTTAGGTACCATTCCACAATATCCCTTGTCCACTAATCAATTTTTTTCTCTCATCATGTGTCCTGTCCACTGGCATTTTTGCATTTTATTACGTCTGTGACTTTTTTTAGTCTTTGATTTGCTTTTAATTATGGTTAGTTTTACTTTGTCTTTCAATTTTATGTTGATGTAATAAAATAAAATTGAAAGATTTCATAGGTTACATTGCATTAAATCATAGTTTCCCAAAGTGGTCTCTACTCTTTCTGAAGGCGCTGAAGAGTCCTTGGCAGGCGGAAGGGGCCTTGGAAGCTATTAGGGGCGACGATACTCTCCAGGGGGTGCTTCCACGTTTTAAAAAAAAACCTGAATTATCTATATAAAATACACTATGTTTATAGTCAAAGTCAAAGATTATTTATTCCATAGGTAAAATAAATTTACACTTGAAAACGTCACATTTAAGCTACTGCTCGTTCACTACGCTGACCTCCCTGAGAAGAACGAGCAAGAAACTCTAGGGATTGCTCTTTTCAAATAAACTTAAATGCTATGGAATACACTTTGAATAATATTTGTGTGGATTCTGGAGCCATGTCGTCTTTCCATACATCTTTATCTAACACGTAGTCTTCAATTTTGTAATATGATTTTTCAATCAAAATATTTTTAATGTAGTTTTTAAACTTAGGAAATGATAAACTTAATATATGCTCCGGAATCTTATTGTAAAAACGTATACAGTTCCCCATAAAAGAGTTGTTTACCTTGGTTAAATGAAATCGTGGTACCATGAGTTTGGACTTAGCTCTAAGGTTAATATTATGGATATCTTCTTTCTTATTGAAATTATGTATATTTTTACGGGCATATAAAATATTTGAGTAAATGTACTGTGATGCCACAGTCATGATACCAGTCTCCTTAAACTTTTCTCTGAGAGATGCCCGAGAGCCTAGACGGTACACATTTTTGCTATGGATTTTCATCATCTAAGTACATATACATATAAATAGAAATTTATAAATCCTATCTATTGAAATATCAGAGTATTATCAATTTTTGTCTTTGGAAGTTGTATGTTCATTCTTAATCCAGACAACCTTGGTTGCCCAACTGTCTGAATGCGGGCACTGGACGAGGAGGTCCTGGATTTGATTACCAGTCTAACCAATTTTATAAAATAAGTTTTGGTTTGTATGTTCTGATTGGTTTGAGTGAATTCCATTGTTGTGGTACTCATAGTACAGGCAACTCCAATTTCTTAATCTCAAAGTAAGGAATTGCCATTGTAAATTGTTTTATATGATTTAGTTAAGATCACTGCATCAACTCTCAGTGTTTATTCACCCTGTTGTTAGTCAAACCTGTCTCTATATGAGAATGTTGAAACATGGTTTACTATAACATACTTTTGAGAAATGATAATACATTGAGTTTTTAGATATTGGAATAGTACAAACTTGAGATATGCACTTCACTTCGGCTGTTGACGATTTTTCGCTGTGTTGACACCACCTCTGATGAATTTCGCTATCAAAATGACATTTTTGAACTATTGCCACCATCACGTTTCTGCCATCACACCTCCCAGCAAAGGAGTAGAGCCTATCCCTACATCCTTGAATTCTTGTATTCTAAGACCATGTGGGCATCACATTTATTCCTTCCTTGAACCTGCAAAATGTGGTATGATCTCCATACTGAAGTATTCTGTTTGCGTTATGACATGGGGTTTGTCAAACAGCAAGTCAAGAGAGCTCTCAAAGGCCGGCAAAACACAACTTCCAATTTAACAAAAAAAGGAAATTAAGAATCTGCATGGTGACCATTTATTTTATGTTGAATGGAGTGTTCATTTCTTAATTTATTGTTGTTTAGGAAATGAAATTTTTTTTCCAGATTTAAATCGCATATATTTGTTTTTTCAAACAAACTGACGGTTCGTGCAATCCCATGGTCGTGGTTGACTGAGGTACAGTCTTCAACCAGTTAGGTCTAATATTGACCACCCTATTTTTAACCGACTTCAAAAAAGGAGGGGGTTCTCAATTTGCCTGTACGTTTTTTTTGTATGTATGTTACGCGATAACTCTGGTATTTGTGAATCAATTTTCATGATTCTTTTTTTGTTGGAAAGGGGGTACTTCCAAAGTGGGCTTATTTCATTGTGAAGAAAATCATCCACCTCTAAAAGTGGCTGTTCACGCATGAAGATTCATTTAAATAAATAGCGCCAAAATTTTACTAAATAATTATTTTAATGGTTGATTTTGCTATTTCTCTAATCCAAGGCGTTTTTCTCTCCATATACTTTGATTAATGAGAACCTATTTTTATTATCTCCAGTGTCAAGTCCTGTATTGTGGCGAACTAGGAGATATTGCAATAAAACTTAGCAAATAGACGTAATTCAACATACTTTTGAGGTCGGTGTTTTTAGTACTCTGTACTGAGATTATTTTCACTACTATAGTTACAATAGCTATTAATTAAATACCTTATTTTTAATTTTACAAAGAAAACATTTCAATTTATGCTACATTAAGTTTTACAAATTATTTTATTGAATGAATTTTTATTAAGTTTAATTTATTATTACTTAATATTAGAAATTAGAATAAACTAAAACATATTAATTAGTACTGCAGTCTTATGTCTGTTTGGGGTTTTTCATTAGTGGAAATATTGGATCCCAAACTGGTAGTACGGAGAAACCATCTTCCCTGTTGAAATTAGGATGTTTTTTAATTTCAATGGCAGCATCCTGGGTAGATAACGAACTTCTTTTGTAAGGACCTGGGTTTGCCAAACTTCATTGAGTGTGTAGGTTTATCCATGACATGCTCGCAGACTGCAGACTTGTTTACGCGACGGTGTTTGACATCAGCTATATGTTCTTTGAAGTGGGTACAAATACTTCGCTTTGGTTGTCCAATATAAGAGAGACCGCACTCACAGTCAAGCTTGTAAACTCCTGCATCCTGTAAGGGGATGTTGCATTTCACGGGTCTCACGAACTGAGAAATCTTCCTCAGGGGCTTCAAATAGGTCTTGATAGATGCACGCCTGAGTACTCTTCCGATCTTGTCTGTAACACCACTCACGTAAGGTAAGATGGCAGGTCTTTGCTCGACTGTTGGTGGTTTCACACGGGGCCTGCGGCATGTGCGTGGGATCTTCTTTTGTTTGAAAAAACAATATACGCGATTTAAATCCGGAAAAATAGTTTCATTTCCTATGTGTAACAATCGCGAAAACCTAAGAACTCAGTTATTGTTGTTTGTTTGTGATTTACTAACTTCATACTAAATTGAAATGATGAGGCATAATAGCTATCATCAGCAGCAGTAGAGTTCCTTGTGAAAGAGTTCATCCAGGGAAGTAATGCCACCTTACCTTCTTCTGCTGCCAAGCTGTAATGTGAGCATTACTGCGTTGGTGAAATTACAGCCACATGGGACTTGTCAACTTACGTTTCAGTGTGACGGGCGCAGTGTCATTGCCTCTCAGATGTTTACGGTGTAAAGCTCTGGGTGGCACTGCAACTGTTATGGACAGGCGTGTTGCTTACCACCAGGCCCACAACTTGTTCATCCCTTCACTTGGTATTATAAAAAAAAATCATCATAGTACATTAACTGCTAAACTAAGTTTCAAGTTAAAGCGTGTTTTAGTGTTTTTTTAATGCTCGAGAACCGTCGCTCACGCGCAGCTACTTCTAGTCGAAATACCATATAGTGTATAAAAAAAATTCCAAAAATATTATTTGCTCTGTTTTGATTACAGCTCGTGTGTCACGCAAGCCACCCCGATCCGTTGCTCCCCCGGCCCGACGCGCTCCGCCTCGTTCAGCTGCAAGACTCCGCTCGGCCTCGGCCGGGAGGGACAAACGATCAGAACTCAGAGCTCGATACTGGGCACTGCTTTTTGGTGATCTGCAGCGAGCTGTAAGTATTATTAATTATAATTACTTCTCTGACTTGTAGAATTACAGTCACGTTACCATAGGAAGGTGTTATAATGAATAAATGCATTTTAAATGATGCACGTAAACTTATAATATAACAGGTGTTTTAGTATTTCAAAAATTTAAAGCAACAGCTCATCTGACATATGCTAAGGAAAATAAGAATTAACATTTTTACTGAGAATTTTAATAGTAAATTATTTCTTTGTGATTTTTTTGATAGGTTGGTGAAATCTACAACACAGTGGAAGCCCACGAAAACTTAAATGAGTGCCAAGAAGTCATATTAGTATTAGAAAATTACACACGCGATTTTAAAGCGCTAGGCGAGTGGTTTCGCTTAAAATGGGAATACGATAATACGCCACCACCACAACGTCCTCAGAGTCTGGCATGGGAGATCAGGAAGACGGATTTTGTTCGTCCAGAATCCCGTCGTGCTTATTCTGTTAAGAGCTCACCATCAGTGTCTGGCAAAAACAGTCCATGTTTCTCAGGACACAATACTCCAAGTGGGAAAAACAGCCCCGTCACAGGCAAAGCTAGTCCTGGCAGTGGTAAAATAAGCCCAAGAGTATCAGGGCATACAAGTCCAAAAGCAAATATTGAATTCTTCAGCAATAAGATTGCGTCTAAGAATGCGACGAAACCTGAGCCTAAGGCTGCTAAAGAAGCTCCGAGACTCTCTGATATCAAAGAAAAAGATTTCAAAGAAAATTCTGAGGACATATACTCAAAAGTGGATACTGTTTTGCTGAAAATTGACAATGGCAATGAAATTGATCCTAAGCCATTGGTCGAGTTAGGTAAAGCTAAAGAGTGCCCTATCACGATCCCTTTGCAAGTTGTAATAAAGTCGCCTAAAAAACAACCCAAAGGAACCAATCAAATTGTTAGCAATGATGAGTTGTCATCTCAAGCAAAGATAACTACAGCTCAACTAGATGCCATTGAAAACGAATTTCTTGCAAAACAACTTTTAGAGAATGAAGTTAAGAATGATAATATGGTTAACGGAGATAAGGAGATTGAAGAGATTGCCAAAGTAGAAATGAAAGAAGATCCATTGGAGAAAACTGAGCAGAAGGTTAAAGAGAAAGTTATAGAAAAAGACAGCAGTTCAACTGAATCCCCAGCAAAATCTGAAGATAATTTCGCAGATGTTTCAAATGGGAGTTCTCAAAATGCTAGTGATAATTCAACTAAAGAAACTGAAGTACAGATAACACCACCTAAAGAAATACCTGAAAACATATCAGATGTGAAAATGGAAGACGAGAACTCACCAAACGTCGCCGATAAAGTTAATTGCAATTCCGATACTTCTACTGTACCGGAATACAATAAAGATGTACAAATAAAAGATGATAATGAAATTAAAGACGAGAAAAACGATGAATTTAAAAAGCTAGAACTTAAACCTGATGTCAAAGCAATTGTTGAATTAAAAGCAGTTGAAACCAAACTGAATTCGAGACCAGCATATTCACAAGCTGCAGCGAAACCTAAGCAAGTGACAGCTAAACCTGAAGTAAAAATGCCAGTGAAATCTACTACTTCAATCGTTAGAAGCAAAACAGTTGTTGAAATGCCTAGTTCTGCTCCGAAAACTCGTCAATTCCCAAAAAGAAATCAAACTAGTAAATGCAGCTACCCTTTTAACTTGACAACGGGAAGAACTAGCCTTTTTGACACTACGCCTTCGCCTTCTACAATCAAATCTGTTGCGAAAAAACCTTCAGGAAGAAATTCTCAAATAGGTTCTGGTGATAACAAAATCAATCAAAGTAAAATTGATCCGAAAAAACATCCTCCCAGACCGATGTCTTTGAAGATCAACGAAAAAGGGGATAAAAAAGAAAAAGCTAATCCAGCTTTGGAGAAAATTAAAGATTGTGATGAATACAGCAGTTCGGATACAATTGTCACTCAGATTGATATGTCCAGAATTGAATCTAGCGAAAGCTTGAAAACTTTAGTACCAGAAGAGTTGCAAATGATTCAAGATGTCGCAAATTCCATCGAAGTGTTAAACGTTGACAACAATAAAAACGATAACGAAGGCTGGCTTACTGTGAAATCTAGACGATTAAGTCGCGAGTCCAAGAAACAGTCAAAATCTCACTGGGTCAACAGATTTCATCAACCATCAGCAACAACTTCATTGCCCACTTTAAACATGATAGAGTCACCAAAACAAGAAACAAAACCTATTACAAAGTCTCCTAAAAACACCAAATCTGATCATGCCAAATCAGAACAACCTGAAAGATTAGGCAAGCCTGTCAAAGTTGTCAAAGTAACAGTGAAACCAAAAGCAGAGAGAGCAAAAGATCCTGCTATGATTCGTCAAAAATCTGACGTCACTGGTCTTAAGACGCGTTCATCAAGAAACAAAGTTACGAAGAAGGAGAAGAAAGAATCGAAAAATGACGGCGAATTAACGATTAATCGTTTGCATTCCTCCCTTGAGAGCCTTACAACAGGATTAGCAAGATCCCAAGAAAGTACCGAAGATGCTTTTGACTTTGACAAATGGAAAGCCGAATTTAAGTTTACCTTCAAATATTTGGACGAAGATGATCAGATTCAAAATCATAATGAGATTTTAAAGACTGCTGATCCATCTGAAATGTCAGAAATAGCTGAAATGACGTCTCAGATTGAGGAAAATGAGCGTAAGATAAGCTTGGCGTTGGATTTCCAGTCAGAAGTCGATCAAAGAAAATTGTGTGAGGAAGAAGATTCGCTGAACAGACAAATCATGGAGTTGCAACAAGTTTCTGATATTGATTTGGATACAGAGACTGACGACACTGAGGTGAGCTTTGGTCATTATTTATTACTCGTTATATCTCGAAATTTCACAATGACACTACTGACGTTACGTTTTCACAATTAATAACTAAGTTTAAATTTGATTATTCTATGCTCCTACGGCACTGAGCATTTCTGTATTGATCTGTACTATCAGTTGACCAATATTTTGCAAATCTTATGTAGCGTAAATTGAAATATCTGTCGGTAAATTAAAAATAACTGTAATTCAGGACAAGGAGTTTGCATGTTAGATATAACTCGTAGATGCCTAATACCCAAGTTAATATCCCGTTACCCGAAATAGTTTCTTTTTCAATTTGTAGCAACCGCGAAAACCAAAAAACTTGATATGCACTGTCATCTTTTGCAGAAATATATCTCAAATCTCATGAGATTTGAACTACATGTAGTTTAAAAAATAATGCGTCCAAGTGTCAATTAATTGCTTCCCGTGTCTTAAGTTCATGAATCTATTTCTTGAAATGAACAATACAAATAAACCCACAGACAGATGCAGAAATCCTTTGCGAAGACACAAACATTGGGGTACCGACTTGTTCATCACCAGAGAACCTCGGAGCTTTAGCTGCCAGTCTTGAAGAGCAATATGAGACTGCATTGGCTGGAATGTCTTGGGCGGAAAGGGTCGACACTCTGGTGGTTTTGGAATCTTTGGTTGCCAGAGACCCCGGTAAGCAATAAAACCACCTTATGGACCATGAAAAGGACATAATTAGTTACGCAGTGAAGGCAGTGATAATGTACTAACAGAAATTAGTTAAAGGTTCGGGGATGAAAACTGCTGTAACCAAGGTCGTTGCCCTTACAGGTCGCGCTCAACAATTGCACGCTAAGCTTTCTCAAGGCATAAAACGGAGAGGCAGTCTTCAAGATGCTCTTAGAAGGTAATTTATTTGGATTTTATACATAACACCACACGTGGCGTACCAATGAAGTTTACCCTCTTCTTCTTCTTCCTGTCCTTATCTCACGCTAGGTGGGGTCGGCACAACATGTATTTTTCTTCCACTCTCCCCCACCCAGCCGTCATTTTTATACTCACACCTTTCTTAGCCATGTCATCTTTTACACAATCCATCCATCTTTTCTTTGGCCTTCCTTTCATTTTATATCCCTCCACATTCATACCTAGCACTCGTCTCGTCACATGACATTCTTCCCTCCGCATGACATGTCCATACCACGCTGACCTATTACTCCTCATCTTTTCCGTCACTGGCGCCACTTTCAAACTTCCCCTGACCCTATTCTACTATTTATGAATGAATACTTGTGTGTTTTGCCCATATACGTTTTACTATTATTCATCCGAATACGGTAAAACTTTCATGACTTGTTGTCCCCACGCCCACAAAAATTAAAGTTTACCAGTGGGCCAGTTGTTTCAACAAAATGTGCTACAGTAGAAAAGGCGGTTCTTTAGCAGATGCACTACCAAAAACCAGTTTTTTTTTCTTTCAGTAACGGGTTCTGCTGGTATTTCAATAAAATTAGTTGTACATTTAAGGCATGTGTTTATTATTATGTTTTTGGTTTTTATTCAGCTTTCGTTTATCGATTATAACTAGGTTTGG